ATTGTACAAACAAATTATTTTAGTTAACTCTTCTTATTCAAATTTAAAAAAAATTAATTTTCATAGATTATGAATTTATAAAGATAAAAAATGTAAAAAAATTTAATTATAAATTTAGTTTAAAAATTATTCTCTAGATATGTTTAATTATATCAGATATAAAAAGTACTATAAAAAGGATAAATGCTAAATATAAAATGCCGCTTCTTCTTTTTAAATACTATAATTAACCCAATTACTCATGTACTGGTAAGGCATCGTCTCTTGATAATTGTTAGCATACGTCGAATTTACTGGTTGATTAGGTGAAATGATTGCGTCATTCACTGGCGCTATGTTATCTGGTTTAATTGGCATTGCCATTAATTGGCTCTCGGTGTTCATTGTAGCGTTCATCGGTGTCAGTTCTGTGAGTGAAGTTTCGGGCTTAAAATAACAAACTTTTCGACACTTTCCACTGTCTAAATATTGCTCCATCTCATGAGGTTCAACTTCGTCTGTATCAATCGGTGTAGAATATTGTGAATATGGATAGGTAGACGATGGTGGTGGAGATTGAGTTGGCGACTGAAGAGCGTAATGATAATGATGATGATGGTGTAGCTGATGTGAATATATACGCAATGAATCTTGATTAATTTTTGTTGCCGCTGACGTTCCCGTCGAATCAAGATTCGTTCGATAAGCACATTCACTTTGTGCACCACCAACGACGTAATCCTCTTTCATTATCGAATGAGATGTAATCAGTGATGGCGAGAATTCTCGGTAAGTACCATTTGGTGTTGTTGAGCGTGCGAGAGCAGCTGAAGCCGAAGAAAGCGTAGAGGAAATCGAAGTTTCTGGTGGCGTCATTGAGTGCTCTTCAGTTGAAGAGTGTGGTGAATCAGCAACTTTATTGTGAGTTATTGTATCGTATTTGCGAGTAAAGTAATCGCTTTCGTAGTTGTAAGGGTTTTTATGCTGGCTTATCGTTTGAAAGGATGTGGTTTGTAAATGGTGGTTGTCTTGAGTGACGGGTGGCATATAGGATGAAAATGCAGAGATTCCATTATAATTGGCCATGGAGTAGTCAGTTTTATTTCGAGACTCGTAATTGGAATAATTCATACAACTTGCGAAGCCCTTATCTGAGTCATTATCGTCAATTTCTTCATTCTCCACTTGCTTTTTCGACCGTCGCCCTGGCTTTCGAGTTGGAATTGCCTTTTCCACCTCTGGGCCCGAACCCGCTTCAACTCCAATGTTTTTCATCTTTTTTCGTCTCGGTTGATATTTGTAGTCGGGATGATCCATTTTGTGATTAAGACGAAGATTCTCAGCGAATTCAACAAAAGGTCGCTTGTCAGAGTCTTTCAGATCCCTACGAAAATTAAAAGAAAAGAAAAAAAAGAAAGATGAAGGTAAATTCAAATCATTAAAATATAATAAAGAAACGAGACTTCTTTAGTCTAATGGAAAAAAACGATGTCGCAATGTTATAACAAAAAAGAAATATTTCAAATATTGCGGACTAAGAAGTTTTCTTTTTTTCCTTTCCTTCATGAAATAAAAGTTAGTTCCACACGAACAAATTCAAGGATAAAAAGAAAAGTTGAGGGAGCTTGTAGCGACAAAATTCATGGCCATAAGGTTGAAGTATGTTTTGACCATAAATTAAGAAAACTTTCAGAATGTATGTCTTTATTCACAGTTACAATGGATACGTGGCTCGAAGAATGACAAATTGTCATCGTCAATATTTTCTTTTCGTGTAGGAATCTTTTGACGTTTGGAAAGAATGTAAGTCATAAAAATCTCCTAGGATGTCAAATGACTTTACATATGTAGGTGGAAACTTTGAATCCCATGTGCTTGTAAAACTTTCGGTGTTTGGTGGTAAATTTTATTTATTTTCAAGAATATGAAGGTAAATAATGACAAGCTTTCAATCCTAATACTTGATGACGACCATTAATATTCGGTATAACATTGAAATATAATTCAATTTCTTACTTCCATTTTTCAAAGGCTCATACGTTGTCATTCTTTAATAGAATTTTATTAAATCGCACACACCTTTGTCTAAGCATGAACAATTCTTCTGACGTTTTTCCTTTCTTAAATTTGATTGGAATAAAAGCTATTTTGGTGCGTGAAAGTACATCGGGAGGAAAACATATCGTAACTTTTATGGAAAGTAATGGAAAACAAATATTGAAGAGATAACAAGTAAAAGCTTGCTTAGGGAAACATCAATAAAAGAATGACAAAAATAAAAACTTCTTCTCATTGTTCGACATCTTCACTTTCCTCGAGGCATTGAAGGCGAAACCTTGTCAATTTGGAATTTATTTTATATCATAGCGACATTCACGAATGTTGCTTGTCATTATTATATATGTAAGAACACCGACGGCTTCTTATGTTTATTTATCGTTATCAGTCGAATGAGAACTACTCAATCGTACAAGCAAAGATGAATGGAACGTCATTCGAGTTGAGCACGTCTCTAAATGTGAAACGAAATACATATTGCGAAAACGTTGAAAGAATCTCTCACGTCAGACGGGGAAATTATTCGATCAAAAAGCATGTACTCGCTTGTTTGCCATCACGTAAAAAGGCTTCAATCGAATCATGTTTAATAGAACATTCTTTGAATGCTTTTGAATATGTTTTATTTTTCTTGTGCGTTGTGAGCTTTGTATCTACAACACCTGGTTGAAGTATGTCACACTGTGAAACTGGAGACGAAGCAAAATTCATTAGAGACATACATCGATGTTTTCCAACCCTACCAATAAAGAAAAAAGAAGCGGAGGAAAAAAAATTTAATTTTATTGAAACGAATAAAAAAGCGTGAGGGTGAAGGTGTGGGAATTTTTCATTTTACTTCTCAATTTTTTTCACTAAGGCGCATTGAAATGTAAAGATTATTACTTGGTTAGAGAACCTTAGGGAGTGACGAATAGAATTTGGATAATCTTATGACAGCAACATAAGCATGGAATAGAACGAAGATTGTTTGATGATGAGTTTTATGTCAAGGAATCCCCTGAAGCAATAATATTTAAGCTTTTACCTAATATCAAAACCCAAATCGACTTTTTCATCAAATGTTTCAAAGTCTCACGAACCCCCGACGGAATTTATGATTCGTCTTTAACTGAGACTCTTTCGGCAATAAAACACAAAGCACATCTCAAATCTTACAAGATTTTTATGTTCGTTTCATTCGAGATTTAAGTTACGATTATTTCCCAATCGAAAGTGATATTTCAATAAAATTGGTGAAAGGATTAAAGATCCCGAGGTAAGCTTTAAATATGAAATTCATGAATTTATGAGTTTTGTGTGTGTGGAAGTGTTTTCCGACCTTTTCATAATAAGTTGAACATGAACTAAAGCATATTTATAACGCAAATAAAGGACAACAAATGCATGCAAAATTAAATGGAAGCATAAAATTATCTGACATTTAAAACTATGTTTTATGCATAAAGTTTTAAATTAACAAACTTTAACTTTTTATTCACATAAACTTTCACAACATTTTGATAATTTAACTATCACACGTAAATAGCATAGCGAAGAGAAAGTTTTAAAATATGAAAAATGTTTAAAACAAATATAAATCAAAAGTCATAACTAAATATGAAAGTTTAAAGTGAATGAAAGTGCAATGGCTGATGTTTAAATAACTATAAAAGTTATTCCTTAGAACAAATATCTGTGCGAAAATTTCGAATGAAATTAAAGAACTGAATGAGCAAAATATGAAGTTCCACACTCATTCGAGTACTACGAATTCAACTTTTAATTAAGGAATTATTTGATTAATCAAGTGAGTTTGAGTGTTAGCAAATTATAATTCAATTTATTTTCCATTTTCCTATTTCATCTCAAGTGTCTCGTATCACTTCACATTCAAGAATGAAAGTAATCTTTTCCCCAAAGTGTCGTAAATCAGATAATTTTAAAGGATTCCCCATGTTTCTCAACAAAATTCCTCCACATCGTTTCACCACATTTTAAGCAAATATTTAAACGAACCTACATATTGTACAAGCTTATAAAACTGCTTAAACATTTGGAGTTATTGCGAATATCGTAACCGCGTGTGTTTTAAGTCGCACGTGGATGTCAGTTGGAGGCTTTTTATAAAAAAATATTTAAACATCCGTTTTCATGCTTAAATGATTTGACTGACGTAATCAGTTGGAATAAGTAGAAAGAAAGAGAAATGAACAAAATGAAAATGGCACCACTTCATTCCACTTCACTACAGTCGAGATGAAAAAATAAATTGGAAAAGAAAATCTTCAAATTTTCAAGATTTTCTTCTCGCACTCTTTCAGTTTTATTTACGCTTTCAACTTGCACCTAAAAGATTTCTTTAAATTTTCAATTTTTCAAAGCTTTAAAGCATCAACAAACAGCAAAGTTTTTTTCTGAATAAAACTATCGCCCCAATTTAAGCGTCGTTCGAAAAGAAAAACGAGCAAACATAAATTCAAGTATTAACTGAATCAAGACAAGGGAGTGACGAATCAGATGTTACTCGTTTGATGGCAGATGGAAAAAATGTTGTGAAAAGAAGTTTCACACGTGAATCAACAATAAACATTATAATTTTTCTTTCCCCTCTTTAACATTGCAGATAGATAAGAGTAAATGAAAAAGAGAAGAAAAAAACATTCCCCAAGTGGAAGTGCCTAATAATACAAAAATATTTGCTTTTGACTTAATTCACATCCCATATAGATACCAAATTATGTTGATAGCTACATAAATGCGAAGACGAGAAAAAATCGTTTTTTATTCCTTCTTTTACCAACTGTCGACAAAAGGGCGAGTTATTGTGATGAATAAAAGTTCTTTCATGTTATGCTATGGAAAATAATTTGTTTTACTCCGTGACATTAAATATTTGAATTGCATTTCACAACGTTTTGTGGAGTTGTCTGGAAGGACTGAATAACAAACTAAGTAGGTTTCTTGAACGTTTGCAGTGACCTTGAAATGTTTTCATGTCGTAATTGTCAACTTTATGCTGCTACGGTGTTATGAGTTGCTTGCGACTGTCGCGAGATAATAAAAATATATTTAAATTAAAAACTCAAGAATGAACATTCTTAAATGTAAATTCCTGACATAAGTAGGAATGTGAAATATTCCTTGATAAATTTTAAAGAATTTTAAATTCCATTTCATTTAATGCTCCTTTGAAGACGAAGCATAATTCAAATAAATCTGATTTTCATCGTTTCGTTGCTAACCAACCTGAAAAAAAGTTTTTTAGCTTCGTGTGCATCTTTTATGTTTCTTTATGTAGATAAAAAGAAAGCCTCAGGGTAACATTGCGATGATATTTAAATATTTCTCCTATCACATCAGTTTATTTTTTTTCATTTTCACAGAGCTTTTTATTCATATCGTAAAGAAAAATTTCAATAAAAAAGAAGGATGAAAATTATCTGCACGAGTCTTTCTGCTTAAAAATGCATGTTGATTTGCATTGTAAATTTCCATCACAAACTTGATGAAGACGAAAAAAATTTATCACAGCACGTTTCAATAATTTGTTCATATCAGAGGTAGGAATTGTGGCAGCGAGTTTTGGAAGTTGGAAATGACATTGATTGTTATGTAAAGGATTCGAAACCATTTGAAGATTTCCAGGAAAGTATTTTCCACGCGATCGCTGGATTAAATTTGTTGAGTAAATTTATCTGATTATGCACATGATGTGGAAGTCGTAATGAACGCAAGTCAATTGGAATTCAAATTGATCAAAGGAAATTGAAATTGCTCATATTTATTCATGAAATTAAACTTCTGATTATTGCATTGAATAATAATTTTCGAAAGACTCATTTTTATATAATGAAAATGGCAATTTTGTTGTTCAGAATTAAAAAATTTTCCAAAGAATTTTCTTTTCATAAGAAGAATTCCAGGAATGAAGTGGAAGTTCAAAATTAAAACGCACATCAAGGGATACTTGGTTGGTAAATATTATTACAGAAATGAAGAATTTTTAATAAAATTATTTTGTAATTTCAATAAAATTGCGTTTTCCTATGAAAAGTTTTGAAGGAATTTCTAAATAAAGAAAACTTCTAAAGTCACGTAACGCAATTTTCTTAATATTCCTTTAAGGCTTCTACAATATAAAAGTTATGTACTTAAAAGTATTTTCCAAAGTATTTACATAATCTGTGATCGAAACAATATCTAAGATCAAAATAATGTTGAAAAGTTTCCATTTTAGCACTAAAGTTTGGCATTTATGTAAGTAAGTTGAGCTTATAAAATTTAATTTCACGAGCGAGTAAAAATGAAACTCAGACTGATTACGATGAAGAAATCATTTAAGACGTTTTGCGACTAACATAATTTAAACTCCTCTTTTATGAACAAAGAGTTGATGGGATGTTAAATAATTGCATTGGTAACATTTCTTTTGTCATTAAATGAAGTCATTAAGCCAATAAAAATGTTCAAAATAATATTGACAGATCGACTTACATTCTAAAACAATTTAATACTCACTTCCATAGCTTCCCCAAAGATTTGCTGAGTTCAGAATTTTGTAAATTTGGATACTGTTTTGACATAACGCGACGTGCTGCTTGAGCCCATACCATAAATGCGTTCATGGGTCGCTTGATGTGTTCCTTCTTCTTGTCGGTCGGCACTCTGAAAAATGAGAACATAATTTAATTTAGATTCTTATTAAATGATTAAAACATTTTCCTCTCATTTTGTTTCTGTTTCTCTTTTTCCCTCTCTATCATTGAAGTTAATTAATTTAGTTCTGCGGTTTTTTTCCGTGATGACTTTGCTCCCTTTTTTAAAGATATTTGCAATTGAAATATTTGCCAACTCCCAAAGGCGAAAAGCTTACTTGCAAGAGCAAAGAACCTTTTTTTCCTCATTGAATAATAATTGAATCTTTCATTCGCTTCGTTTAAAACAGATTTAAAGATGTCGTAGCTTACAGAAATGCCAATGTATCCACTGAAATTCCTTTTTTTATTCAATTTCGATGAGATTCAGCTGTGAATGTTTAAAAAGCAATTTTCATGTCAGTGTAGACGATTAATAACACATGTTTGGCTCATTAAGAATCGTCATGCAAAACAATGTTGATGAAGTTTTTGATGCCATGTGGAAGATAAAATGATTTGCTGTGTTCATTACTCTCGCTAGTTTGAAGAAAACAAAGAGCCGCGGCTAGACCGTCGGCTTGTAATCTCATGAAATGCTGCACGATTGCTGACACATGTGGATCAGATGACGATTTGTCTCGCGTTTCACGATTTTTTTTTTGTGTGTGTTTATCATGCGTACAAAATATTTTGATTTGCAAAATCTCTTCCAATTTTATTTTTATTTTGAAGAAGCATTGAGGTCAAAAACACTCAGAAATATTTTATAGTGATTCAGCATCATTCAATAAAATGTTATTCGTTGCATAATAAATTGAAATTGAAAAGAAGTCGTACATGATTGAAATAGAAATTTTCAATCATCGATGTTTGATTTGTTTTTCTTTAAATAGACTATGAATTGTTGTCAACAATTTCCTTGATGCGGTTGAACATTTCAAATTCATTATCCACATTTACATTGCATGTTGCAACACAATTTAATGTAATTTGCAAAGTGTCAAGTGCAGTTAATAAAGATTGACATCTGGTAAAAATTGACATTCAATTGCAACAATTTTCATTTTACATTATAAAAAATTCTCTATGGAAATTTGCAATCTACAATCAAATAAAAAAGCAATCTGCTACCAGTGTTGATCAATTCTAAATATTTTTGTTGTAAACTTAGACCCACATTAAATTAATTCCCCTTTTCACGAAATCGTTTATTTCTTTTCATGATAAAATCATCTAAACAAAAAATCACGAAATTTGTCGGCATGGGTCAAAGAAAAGAAGAAACAAAAGCTTTACTTGATGAAATCGTTTACAATGTAGAAAGTGTCGCAAAACGATGAAATCTGGATGTCATTTGAGTGTCTAATAAATTTCATTAGATTAACTTAAGATAAATAAGAAGTCAAATCCTGAGGCGCAAATCATCGAGCAGTCTTTAAGAAACAAAACAAGAAGAGTTGGAGATTTAATTACTTAAAATGCCGCATAATTCTGAACTTAGCCTTCGAGCGTCTATTCATAATTACATTTTAACAGCTAAGACTTTCCAAAACTTTGAAACTTTCCGAGGGTTGAAATGTTCAAAATAAAACAAAATTTTCTCTACGTTAAGCTTCTAGGGAACGATTAAATGTAAAGACAATGACTCATCAAAATTATTTTTCTTACGAATGAATGCCATCAACAGACTCATTAATTTGGGATTAGACGCTGTTAATGGTGTCGAACGATAACATTTACATTAATTAATGATTGATACATCATGTGTGCACATTGTATCAATTACACACTAAGAAATACCGAATCACAAATTTCGTCAAATCATCATCTGATTTTGGAAGCTTATTGAGGGATTTCATCTCTAATGTTTTCAATCCAAAAGGTATGTGTTGACGATGTGAATGGACATTCGGGGCTTTTATACTTTTATACTTTTTTTCTTCATATTCATATTCTTACAGGTTTCTTATAAGAAGATGAAAGGAAAACCTTTTCAGTTAAGGTAGAATGAAAAGAATATTAAAGCATGTATGAAGTGAACGTAGATTTCAGGTGTTCAAGTTATCAATTGTCATGAAGGTAAATCTTTCTCTTGGCATTCTAAGTCAATATAAGATCTATGAAAGTTTCACAACGATCGAGAAAAGTTTCATGTTTTTATGTCAAGTCATTTTGAGTTTTTATTTTTATTTTATTTTTTTGGATATTAAAGATTTTTTACCTTTCAGCTCATTCACAATATTGATACAAATACTCATGATATATGGCGTAGATTTAAAAAATAGTTTTGAATTTAAAAGAAATTGAATTTCTGCTGAGTTAACGTAGAGTTTTATATCATTCGTTGGATGAAAATATTAGACACATTTTGGAAATGAAAGAGAAAAAAAAAGAAAAGCCGATTCCAATAATGATTGATTGATTAGCTAATTATTTGCCTATTTAAGATCATAATTAAATTTCTTACAAGCTCATTGCATGGCAATGAACAAACAAAACAGAGAAAGATGGAAGGAGAGACAGAGAGAGAAAAAAAAGGTACAAAAGCAAACAAGCTGTTGTGGGAAACCAGAGTGAACCTACATTTGTTTGCCTTCACTTGAGCGATGTGAACATTTTATTATATCCCCTGAATGCAACTACGAACATAATTGGCTTAGAGAACAAATTGAAAAGAAAATTCATGGGATGAAAAGAATTTTTTGAATCTACATGTTTCCAATTTGTTTACCAATGTTTTGCAACTGATTCTGAAGATCTTTCTTTAAGTCCTTGTTTGTTGACAATTTTACAGAAGTCAAGGGCTCAATTTTATAATAGAAAATATCTGTTTTCAAAACAATTTTTTCAAAATCTAATTATAAGTTGATTCCCAGAAATTTTGAAATATCATGAAGCATTTTATGAGAGTTTAGAATGTGATAAAGGAGATAACAATGTTGTGTAAATAAATAATGTGTGGTGGGGGAGTACAATATGAGGGGAGATAAATTAAAAATTTAACAGCATTCTTCCTTTCCAAAGGTAAACATCCTCCATTCGTGGAAGGTTGTAACATGCTTGAAGTTCCGCTTTTTTTTCCTTACATTATTCAGAAAAACAAAAAAGAAAGAAGAACGAGGAAAGTTTCCTTGCACAGTTTTATGATCAAGAACGCAATAAAAATGCGTAATAATTCTTCCGCACCGCGACGACGAATGATGAAACCTTTGAAGCGAAATGATGTCTTAATTCAAGCATAACATAAATGATTCTTTCCTCTATGGTGAGATTTCTCGGTAACGTCTCCAGCAATCGATATAAAGACATAAAGATGGAAATGAATTGTATCGGAGACGAGGAATACCCAAAAATATTCAAATATTGGGTAGATTTTTGTCATAAAAAATTCCAGAAGCCGTTAACATAAAAGCTATGAGAGTTGGACTTCTTGTTATTTTTTTGCTTCATCGTTGTTATAGGAAGGTCATAAAGTTTTACAACTCAGAAGAATTTCATGTTTAAAGTGAGGTGAGTGATGTCGGCAAACAAAAGGTTTGAGGATCAATGGGTGATCCATATTATTAGATTAGACAATATGGAGGTGGGTTGTTTGCAGTCCAACAACTTCTAAGAAGAATGTCAAAAGACTGTGAATGGACAGAAGAAATTTCATCTTTGCCAATCTTCGGCACATAAATCAATGGGAAGAAAAAGAGGAAAATGAGCTAATAAAAAGGCAAAGATTAAGTTGAAGTCGCTGTTAAATTTTTGACGTCCGGAAATAGGATATAAAATATGTAAATTGTGAGTCGTGGTGGGCTACTTGTGAATTCATAAATTTCATCATTTGACTAACGGCGATGACAAATTGGTGATGGGCTTGGTGGATGTTTGCTTAACGACGCTTAAATAAAATTTCATTGGAATGAATGATTCATGGAAAATTCACAAATTTGATTAGCAAAGATTGATCATGTTTCTAATTAACGACTCATTCAATCAATAAAATTATGTAGATTGAGTAAAAGTGAGTAAAATACTTAAAATTTAACGATAAGACAAGGCGTCGAAAAACGCTTAAGAAGTTTCAATAAAGATTAATTTCGTGGAAATAATATCGATTCGTCTTTTCCCCAACTTTTCATCAAACACTTACAGCCTGAACTTTTTCTTTTCTCTCTCGTAAATTTCTCGTAAATTTCTTTTTATTTTCTCACATCTTTAGGTTTCCATGGTTGTTGTGTACTTAACAGAGAAAATTAAGAGATAAAGCTTTAGGAAAATGTGAAGCTTAAAACATCACGAATCAAAGTAAATATTTGTAAAAAGAATTTTCTTTGAGATTTTCCTTCAAGCTAAGGATAAAAATTTGCCATTGAAGCTTATAAAGTTATCAAAAGAAGAGCACTTGAATAATTTATAAATAAGAAAAGTCGGCCTTAAGTATCTTCCCAGTAGTTAAAGAACTGCTGATGAGTGAAATGTGAAAGTTATGTTTCAATTTCTTCCATCATTTTATTATGTTAACCCCTAGGTTAAACAAATATTAATTCATTTACATATCTTTCGGTTGACGTCACAATAAATCCGTTTTGTCAATCTTATGACGCTTTCATTCGTCACATGAAATGTTCTTGAAGTCAAAACAATTTCATCCACACGCATCTGAGTATTTACATGTTGTCGGCAAACACTCGAGTGTAAACTGAATTTTAAGCTAATTAACGCCTTTCATATTGAAATGTTGGTTAAACAGTATTTGTCAAATTTGTTGCTTGTTGAACTAGCGTTTTGAAATGAATGTATGTATGTGCAGAGACAAGACAGGAGGGAAATTACACGCTTGATTCATTCATTCATTCATTCACTCATTCATTCATCGTCTCATTCTCTTAAGATGGATCTGGAAGGGTATGAGAAGCAGAGAATTAAGAAGAAAAAGCAAAAGCTTTTCCTTTGGTGACTCATTTACATAGACAACAAAAGCTACTTTTCGGTTCCCACATTTGCCTACTTATCATTCATTTATTTGTTCGCAGTTTAATGAGTTTGAGTTTGAAATTCATTCTCGACCTGTGTTCTTATGCTATCTGACAGATGTTCGTCGTATCATGCGACATTCCCATAAAACCGCTTTGCTAAGCACACTCGAGTGACATGTGAAATTTAATTATTAATATAGTCAACCGCGTAAGGTCTGTGGGGAGAGGTTGTGGGAAAGGATGACGCGAATGTTATGATTTCTATTCCTACGTACATAGGTGATATTTTGTTATAATAGAAGGGGAATTATTCTGTTCTGGGTAAAGTGAAAAGCTAATAAATAAATAAACCAACTTGTAGCAGTTGTTGATAAAAATAATTATTATCCTTTAATGTATGTAATGATGCATTTTTGCAGCTACTTGTTAATGCATAAACAGTCTTCTGAATGCAAACTGACCTTCCTTCCAATCATATTGTTTCCAGATGTTGTTAATAGTCTGATGCAAAGTTGTTGTTGACATTAAATGTCGTTTAAATAGATGTCATTAAGATAGCTTCATGATGAGATGTATGTAGATTGACACAACAGAAGTACGCTCAAAAATTCCAACAGAAAAAACAAGCAATTGATGTTTGCACAATGTTTGCTTAATATTTGCCATATTTTTGAGTTAATTTTAGCTTAAGTAAAGAGTTCTGAATTTTTTTGTAATAATTGTCTGTGACATTTCGAGAAGAAAAAGAAATTTGGAAGACTTTTGAATTAATTTTAATTCTAAATTCTATTAGCAACTTTAAATACATGAACGCCTTTCGAAGTCAATATTTACATGCTAAAAATCAAACAAATAATAAATCTCCTCCCAGTGTGTCTTGATTTTAAGAAGCATTAGAAGTTTTATCTTAAGTTTATCTTTTTCTACTTAGACAAGAAATGTCAAGAGATAGCGACAAGAAAGTCGGTACATCGAACCGTGATCTATTAACACTTGTTTGTTAAACATTTTAAAACATCAATAATATTTAAATAAACTGTAGTTAAGCGTGGTCATAAACTTTCATAGATTTTAAGTATTCTGATATTTGGATGTTTTCTTCTTCTTGAAATTGAGTCATAAAAGAAAGAAGAGAAGCAGGTTAGCTATAAGTGATTGTGTCGAGCGATTTATTCCCTTCGACGATTTAACCAAATTTAAAATAAAAGTCTAGTCAGCCTTCAAAAATAGAAGCCACACTTTCAAGCCTTCAAATTTGATTTTTATCTCTTGAAGTCAAAATTAGTAGCACTTAAGAAAAAAGAAACAAATTTGAAGAGAAAATTACACCAACAAGTGATCGTTGATTGAAGTGAAAGAGAAGACAATTTAATTTTCTCCTTCTTATTTTACCTACAGCATCGTAGGGACTTAAGAGGGCACAAAATTGTTTCTCGGCTGTCAAGTTAAAGTCTTTTTTTTATCAAAAATTCCTAACTTTTTTGTCTATTGTTGAGAGGAACGAGATCGTAATTAACAAAAGAAAATAAATAAATAAGTAGATGAAAAGTTTCACACTTCAACTTACTTCACTGCGGCTGGTACTAAAGTCCAATCGTATCCTTGAAGAACTTTCATAACAGCTGAATTTATTTGCTCATTTTCCGGTTTAGTTTGACTGTTCTTCACTTTTGGACGAACCGTGCTTATCACCAGTTTCTCAATAGCTTTTCCTTTCGACGACTCCATTATGTTTAAATAATTGAATTCCTTTTAAAGTTCTTTTTTATTTTCTGTTCTCTGTTGTCTCTCATAAAATGTTGAATGAAAACTTTTTTTCTTTTTCCTTTCGTAGAAAATATTTTTTCACAGTTTCTCGTCTATTTAATTGAGTGAAATAAAATTTTCCGGAAACTTTCCTCTTTCTAATCAATTTAACTTTGTAATTTCTCTTGTTAAGCGTTAGCAATGAAGGCACATTTATTATTTAATTCAATAAAGTAAAAGTTTATAATTAAACTCAATTCAATATTAACACGAAATCTCGAGAAATTCACTTCACGAACTGTAAGAAAGTTATTTTCTGCTCCATTTGGGAATGAATTGAACACTTGAACGTCTCTATTAAAACTGTCTTTGAGTATAACAGATGGAAATGCTTAAAGCAACATATCTTCAAGACGTCCGATTAAAGATGTTTTATTTAAATAATAAATAATTTTTCTACGTGTGTGCACACAAATTTTGAATACATTTGAACGCTTAACTCCGATTCGAGAATATCACCGCAAAAGAGAAGTTGGAGAAGGCGGCGATAATTTTTTACGTCTTTTAAATACATTTATTTAAATATTGTCTTACAAAGTAAACATCACAAACACATTGAAGAGAGTGAAAGAAAACGATGAAGATGAAGAATTTATTTTTGACAGTTCAGATAAGGAATGATCGAGGGAAAAAATTTGATGAATGATGAAAATTTCCTTTAAACAATCTTAAAGTGATTTAATCAAAGTTAAAGTAATTTAACTTGTTGATTTAATAACATTTTACAATCCCATTGCACAAAACCACGTGATACGTAAAATCAAATTATGTCTTTTGTGATGATTGAGCTTCCCAACTGGGAATTAAAAGCCTCAAGACAAACTGCTTCCATTGCTTTATGCTTTATAATCTCTTTTAACCTTATAAATCAAACTTCAATATTGTGGAAAAGGAAATGTTGGCACATAAACACAGTTGAGCGACTTTCCAAAGGATTCAAACCACATGAACGAGTAATTCCTAGAGTTTCATTCAGTTCATCGCATCAGTTGGTCTTCCATTGTCCAGTCCCTTAAGAAAGAAATGAGTTTTCATGCTGAAAATTTCAATTTTTCTCTACCATTCGAAAAGTTTTATTGCAACATTTTTTTAATTAAAAAACTTTTTTTCTCCTGCCTTCTCCTGAAACTGAAAATTATTTGTTTACTTGAGAATTCTTTTACATATTTTCAATAGGCATAAATATATGAATTAACATATAAAAATGTTATGAAAGAAATGACCATGACCAGACATGAAAGATATGCCATGTCAATAAAGTTTGGCTAAAAATAGTCATCATATCCTTTACCCTTTCAAATTCACAGCCCATTTGGCATTTCTGACACTTATATCAAGTGTCGGATAGATTTTATGAGATGAAAGTTTAGTATATCCTTTATGACACTTGATGACGTTTTGCTTTCTTTTCATCACTCACACATTTTGTTTGCGGTTGAGAGTTGTGGTAATATAAGCCCACTCCTAAATATTTGTTTTGTGCGGTTTTCTTCACATATTTTCATCCCTTATCATTGAATAGGCGCTCTTCAAATGTCTCACTTGTATTCTTCAACAATATTTGTTTTAACGAAATTCCATATCAAGTGGTTGTCTCTGGTTGATGTCTTCATGTCTGCATCATAGTCAACTAGAAACATTGAGTGTTAAGGTTTAACGCTAAACCTTCACAGGATGAAAAGGAAATTAAATAAAGCTCAATGAAAAGGGGGAAATGGAATGAAAAAAGAAAAATTTAGCAACAGATCTATTTACAATCATTATTGCACAGCTGTAACTGAATGCAGTGCCAACTGAATCGATTTCTCATCTGTGACAATTTTTTGTATTAAAAAATTTCTTATCTACTAAGAACTATCGCAAACATTTATTTTTATTTAATGAAAGTTTCGACTTCATGTTCAATGCATTGGCTCTCTCAACCGGAAGCATCTCATAAAAAATTCAAATGTCATCTCGCTTTCATTCTTTAATGTGAACTGAGATGAGAAGTGAGAAAAGAATAATAAAGATGAGATGCAAAAGACGTTGTTGGGTTGATTATTCTTAAGCCGAAAAGTATTCAGAATGGAAGAAGGAGCTAAAGCCGAAAACAAGAAGAGTTTCTGAAATTTGAATACAATGCTAATTAACACATTTTGTTTCGTGTTTGTCGGGAGACTTTTTGTGAATAAATTAGTGATCGTGCAAAGTGTTAGGAGCTTATGGAAATTTGTTGATATGCTGTTTTGTTGTTATTCCCGGTTGAATTTTACAAATTTATTCATTCTTTAAATTTAATAATTCACTTGACACAATTTTCATGTGAATCTGTGCAAAATGAAAATCAGGGAAAATCTCAATTCAACATATTCATCAGAAATTACGATATAGAAAAAAATCGATAACGATTTAATCTAAAAACGCGCCCTTGTGTTGAATTTAATCATCCAGCGGCAAAAAAAATCTTAGCAATTCCGCTTCAAAAGATTCTCAAATTATTTTCCCTTGCCTGGCACAACAAATTCATCAGAAATTTTTGATCCGTGAAGTCTTTACAATTATGGAAGAAAAATTACGCTTAGGGATTTCTTTTTAAAGCTGATTACGAGCTTCCAACAATTAGATAAATGATGGTTTGTGGTTGTTATAGATACCTAGCCAAATGAAACATTTTAATTTGTTTATATTTCATTTAAATTTTTAATTAACATTTGAAAAGGACTTGGATAAACTTTTCTCTTAAATAGAAGTAGTTTTGCATGGATTCTAATTAAAAGTAAATTCTGTGCTTCCAACTGCGCTTGTTGATTCCATTGAAATATAAAGAATTGAAAAGAAAAGTTTTCAAATACAAATTGAGCTTTAACTTAACAATGAGAAACTGATTTTCTATGCAAAAACCTTGATTAATAAATACATGCATATTTTTGCTTCAATATTTTTCTTTTTCCGCAACAATGTAAATTCTTAATTTGCATATCAACGACCTACAAAATGTAAAGAAATATTTTTGAATTTACATTCAGAAATTTCATTGATGATTGCTTTGAAATTCGAACGGAGTTATCCAATGAATTGACGTAAACGAAGAGCATAAAGATAAAAGTTTATGATAAGTGTGAAGGTTATGATTGTTTATGGTTCAATTGTTGATCATTTAGAAAAGTTTACGGCCTCTGTTGATATTATGCAATGCACATATTCCATACGACATCTTCATGCTAACATTTATCCTCAGCATAAACTTTTATGTTGAATGTTTCTTGTTGATTCTATCCGCATTTTCCTAATAAAGTTCTTATAAACGCAAATAAAATTATCTTCGCTCTGAGATGTTGATTAATATTGAGAAAATTGCTTACGTGCCAACACCAAACAGAATGCTCATAAGCAGCAACTGTTTGAAGAGCATTTCCATTAATTGCGAAGGCTAATTGGGCAAATTTCCGTTTTCTAGGAATTTTTTCATCGAAATAAAAACATTTTCTTGTTTTGAATCTTCTTTATTAGTTCTGATCACATGTAAACATTCAGTTATATTCTCTAACATTTCAATATATATATACATTCAGAGCATCTATCTACACCCCATCATTTAAAACATTAAAGCTTTTCTATTTGTAAGCTTTTTATAATGATTCTTGATGTCCGTTCATAATGATATTTTTATGTTGAACATTCATATCTACGTGATAGTGCCTCACTTGCCATCAGGTTACGTTATCAACGTCAAAATCAAGCTCTCATTACTGGCTTCCTTTTTTTATTTGGTTTTTATTTCATCCCATCAAATTGAATTTACGCTTTGAGATCGTCGAGCGTTAAGCAGAACTGCTCGTAATGGTTTTAATGGTGCATGATGCTGAAGTAATGACATTGACGCAACGGTCTGTATCGAATTTTATTTATAGCGACTCGCTTTATATCATCATCAAAATTGTAATTTAATGGATGTTTATGCTTAACGCGTTTCTAATTTTTTATAAGTTAATTTAATGGAGTAAAACTGAAAAGATTCTTTATTAATATTAACAAAAGTAATTGAGATAAATTTTTGATAAATAAGTTTGAAAGTTTTGATCAACTGCAGCTTAATTAATTGAAGGAAATATTTTTTGACTTTAATGAATTTTCTTTTGAATCCTTTGATAAATTTTCATCTTTAAAGAGTCTTTTCGTTTCAAAATTTCATCAACATCAATCATGTAAAATGGGTAGTTTCAAAAGCTTTAAAGTTGTTTCTTTTGAAAACTTCCGTCTGCTTAATTGGCAAAGTGCTTTTACGACTGCTTTTGACGGCAAAAGGTATTCGAGGAAAATGTTTTGGTCGTTGAATTCACGATGGAAACTTTTGAAAAGGGTCGAGAAATTAATTATATTAATTTTTGTTATCTCTCCATCGCATGAATGCAATACAAAAGGAAGTCGGACTTTACAAGTATTCCCTTTATGTGGGATTTTCTAAATAAATTCATATTTTTATTGGAAGGGGAGTCGATATGCTAGCCAAGATAACGTGTACATAATTGAAATAGATCTCATCTTTTCTACCCTCTTTCATATATTTCCCTTCAATGAGACTTCTCTTCCTTAGCTTTTTAACATTACACACATTCTCGTTTAAGTGGGGGAGGAGATAAGAAAAAAATTCTTCATTTTTCACAATTACGTTATGTTCTGCTTATTTTTCCTTTTATAAAAGCCTCTCCAAGTCTTCGCTCTCAGCATCACTTGTACACGTATCCGAATCGGAGTATTCTAAATCATTTCGTCTATTCCGTCGACAACACGGTCTTTGATACTCCTCTGAATCGCTCCAGTGTTCATATTCTTCTTTGTGATGCTCTAAAAGCATTAAAGATGGGAATATCGTATCGCAACCACCACAACTGTAAAGATAAAAAATAATTTTCTTAATGCGTCTCTTGAAACATCAAAGTATGAATATCTAGCTCAAATTGCTTCAATTGATAACATTCATCCTTCATTCTTTTCAACAATCATTACTTTTACTTTTCAAGGGAATTTATTTTGCGAAATTCGTTATTAATCTTAATAAAAGTCAAATAGCTTTGAGTGAATTTTTACTCGCAAATATTTTTTATGAAACATTCCAAAGTGAATAAAGTTTCGTTAGCAATGTCAGTGCGTATTGTAAAATTTGAAATATTTTTGATTTGGGATCAGAAATATCTTTCTGGAAAATATTTTGACTTCGAACTTTTTTTTCCTTATAAATTCTTTCTTTTGAATTTTTTAAGGATTTGTTAGAAGTAAATGAAGAATAAATGAAAAATTCTTGTCCTTGAAATTCTCTAGGTAATTTTTCATACTTTATGACATCGTAAATGAACAGAAAATGTTTGTCAAAGTGTCTTAAAGAATATTTCGAGCTCTACTTATGAATATTTTGTTAGCTCATCATCATACGCTTGTTAATGTCTCTACAACTGCTACTCGCAACAGAATATACTGAATGTTAATGAAGTTGTCATGAAGGATAATGAACATACGTAGCATTGTTTATGAGAGCATATGTTAAGATTTGCTACATAAGAGCCAATGTTACTCATTACATGATATGAAATTCTTAAGAACTTTTATGCTAATAGTAGCACGACGATACATACATCAGATAAACAGCAAACTGACATATAACAGATGTTGCTAACACAAATTTCCTATAATATTAATGCTTTCATAAACTTTTTGTGTCGCTATTGAAATTATCAAGGAAATGATATAAACATTTATCAGAAAGCTCATTTAAACGTCTCCTTCCTTCATTTCAAACAGCTTTAAACTTTAACAAGAGCGACTCTGATAATCTCATTTATGGAAAATTTACGATGAGTACTTAAAATTTAAACTTTCCTTCAAACACTACAAGTCAATTAAAGAATATTTCCTGTTGAAACCAGTTTTAAAGTTCTCCTGCCATTATCAACCTTTATTCTATTATGCTTTTTATGTTTTAAATAATCCAATATTATGTTACGAATATAAAAGCGAGCGGTAATGCCATCAGCTTTTATTCACTTTTGATAAGTTAACAAACCTCGTCAAAGGTTGAAATTCGATTTACGTTAGGTTTTTAAAGCTTTTTAAGTGCACCCTTTATTTCATGTCACGTTCACTTACCCGAAATGTCGCTTTTTTTGCTGGTGAGAAGCCAGCTGTCGGTGGCAATGGAAAGCTCTATCACAAACGTTACACGTTAAAGACTCATCTGTGAAAACAAAAAATGGGATGAAAAACGCATTTGAAGATTTTTAAAACAAACATTAAATAATTTAAAAGCAGAGAAAAGTCTGAGAACAATTTTTCCTTAGAAAATATGAGTGAGTAAATATCAATAAAATTTGTAATATTTCATACTATAAAATCAATATTCGAGACACTTCTTACATCAAGATTTCATTTCAGTAAACTCAAGTCCCTAATGGATTGGAAAAATCATTTGATTAAATGAAAAAGTCATCGAAAAAGTACTTCCGAGTAAATTTTTATAAATTTTCTCATCAATGACCTACGGCTCAACTCAAGAGAATTTTTTATCAAACATCAAATTGAAGAAAAAAGTCAAAAGAAATTCAGTTACAAAATTTGATGTCAGCTGAGAAATTTTCTGTTTCTAGCTTGAAAAAGAAAACTTACCTAATTTCAATTCTTGAATATCAAACAAATTCTGTATACAAATGAAAATGTTTTGACTTCTTTTTTTCATTTGCAATGTCATAATATCATGTACGTTATTTGATTAAGAGTATGAGTACAGCACGTGCTTAAAATTGATGTCATGAAATTTAATGATTCAATTTCTGGGTTTAAAAGAATATAAATTTGATCATAAAACAACAGTAAACCATTAAAAGAATTCTACTTTAAAGAAGAAAAAGAAATATAAAGTGAGTAGATATTTGATATCATACCATAATCGTCATCATCATCAGACATTGCCATTAGCTGTAACCGATTGATAGCTTTTTGATCGGTTTGCTTTTTAGAATCAGCACATTCAGCGTGGTCATGTCCGACATCAGCTAAGAAATTATTATTAATACTGTCAGTCACTTCGCTGTTTCCATTCTTATCGACGCACTGAGTTTTCCGCAAGCTCTCACAATAAGAATATTTTACATTTTCGTCGTTCATTAATAAATTTCCATCAGCGTCATCGGTTTTGTTGTTAAAAATTTGATCATCAGAATCGACGCTTAATCTCCCATAGCGAAAACGTTGCCTCGAGTTGTTTTTACCTTTAATAGAATATTTAAAATTATTGATGAGTGTTTTACATAAGAGTGTGGGCGGTTTCAGGTGTTTTTATGCGATATTTTCATCATTAGTCACTCCCGTTCTTTGTTATATTAATTTAAATCCGATTTAGGTAGAGCTCGAACAATAATTAAAATTTAATATGCAAAAACAGGAAATTTGTTACGTGAAAACATGAAATTTATAATTCACGAGATTAAATTATTTATGAAAACAGAGGAAAATTAAATTGAAATCAGTTTATGTTGCGTAGCGTGTGAACTTTCCATTAAGTAATTCCGTAAGTGCGTATCACTGAGTGTTATTGTCCATCAGTTGTGTTCGCTTATGTTAAAGGTTGAGTTATTTAAAGGATTCTATTAACCATAGCGATGTTCATCATAATATATTATGTATGTAACCAAGCGCAAACCCTCTTTATGCTTTCATAAGAGCTCAAAGGTAAGTTTTCGTATAAAAACTCTGAGAACTTCATAAGAATGATATAAATCCAAATAAAATTCGTTTAACGAACCCTTTCTCCAATCGATTTAAATTGATAAAAGCCAACAATGAAAAGTGTAAATTTATTTTCTACGTATGAATGGCAAATTTCTGTCGATTCTTCCATCCTCGTATCTGATTGAAATTTTATCAAGCTTTTACCTTTCATTTGCAGTAGTATTTATCTAAGTAAATATTATTTGTTCAGAAGGCAAAGTTCCTCCACAGGAATTTCATAGTTTAAAAGTTCAATGATGTAAATTTGATGATTTCTCAAATATTGTAAATTAGTTTCTCGGATAACTTTAACAAGAAAAGTTGTTAACAAAACTCATAACAAGGAAAATTTTAAAAGCTTGTGAGAGTTTGAAGCTCATGGCATAGAAATATAAAATAGATAATAGGATTTTGATTGATAGCTCACCTGAATTATTATACACATTGATAGAATGCGACTTTGTTGAGTAATTGTTATTGATTGAATTGAAAAAATTTACAGCACCCGTTCGCCTTAGAATCCAAAACATTTTTTATATATTTTTCTCTTCGTTTTTCCGTTTCAAATATGGTTAAGATAATTAGGTAAATTTACTTCGACATAACCGAAAGAAATTCCACAGTCAAGTAATCACGCAAAGTTATGAGGCTTTAGAAATTTTTATTTTTTCCAACTTTTTTTTTATTTTTTCTCAATGAAACATTTTATAGAAAAATATTTGAATTAAATTTTCATCTCAACTTTATTATTTTTAACATGATATGTAAATTGTGAATTCCCGTTCACGAACAAATTGAAATCACGTCTATTGTATGTCAACTTCAAGAATAAACTGAGGAGAGAAGCAAACAAATCTTCATGTGGTGTTTCAACCGATTTTCGAAAACCTTTCACAGACAGAACTTGCGCAAGACTTTTCGAAAAGGATAAAATCAGAGAGAGAAGACTGAAACTCATTGATGAAAATATATTTTCCTCCAGCATTTGTTGATAATATACAACTGAACAGGTCGGTTTCCTCTGACCTTACACAATTTTCATGGATTAATGAAAATTTCTTTTTCTTCTTACCATCGCGTGAAAAATGTTGACGCTACCCAAAAATGAAACTTTCATTTTTCTTTCTTTTCGTGATTCGACACTTCGTAAGCTTTAATGTTCTAATGTAATTTCCGATTGTCATTTAGCTATTGAACGTAAGGAATAAAAATAATTGATATGAAATAAAATGAAAATGTCCATCACAGCATGTATTGCCTAAACAAAGGCCAAGTTCATGAACTAACATTTAACAAAATTACGGTCAAAGTTAAGTATCTGCGGTAACCCAAAGAAAAACAATCAAACGCGGTTGCTTGTAAATTTATATAATCTGTCGAAGAAAGGAATAGAACAAAAAAGAGTCGAAAAATATTCACTCGACCGTTCCAAAAACTGAGTTCAAGTTTTATTAATTTATTGAGCTGCCGGGATTTACGAAGTTTTCCCCTTTTTTCTTGAACTGACGAAAATGAGATTTCGTTGAACGAAAGTTTCTCACTATCAGTAATCCTTTAAAGATTTGAAAATCTCGCTTTGTTGATGTTTAAACGTTGAAATGAATCTTAACAGAGCTTATGATATTTATCAACAATTCAACCAATAAATTTGTTAAAAAGAAACAAAAAGTTTTCCAATTAATGAAACTTTTTGTTATAAAAGGAAAGCATTTCATGGTTTAGAAATTTTATTGATGATGTTTTTGTTTATTAATTTTCTTCGAAGTCAACACATGGACAAGAAATAAAATAATTAATGAAATTCGTACTAACAACATGGTTGACCATGCCACATGATTAATATTGGATACTGAATATCACTGAATATTAACGATTTGATGGATTGAAATGTTGTTGTCGTAATACAAGCATAAAAAGGCTTTTACGCATGAAAGACTTTTATGAGATTTCCCCATAAAAATGTAAAAAGAAAAATATGATTGGAGTCTAGATGAGAGTTAACCAAGTTATGTTCTACCATCCTTTATGATTATGATAAAAATCATTGAAATGAATTCATATGAATTTGGATTCCCATGTTTATTATACGAATTTGTCTTGACAGCAAGAGATATTTGTGGAATCATGAAAAGACATTCTCATTACTTCATGGGCTGTTGGCTTCTTCAGTGAAACCTTAGTTAGAAAAAAATATTGAAAGCTTCATCTGATACTTTTAAAGATATTTGATTATTTCTCGTGTTGTTTGTTACATTTCTTGACCTTGAATCGATTTTGATTTCATTCTTACCAGAGATTGCCTAAAAAGCCTCCGATTGCGGAAATATTCTTTCAATCTGAATGAAACATCTCAGTGGAAGATATTCGAGAATAATTTCTAACATGAATGAAAATGAAAACGATCCGAAAGGATGAAAGCTTTCAACTCGTAAAACATTAAAATATTCGTTATACGTCATTCAAGTAAGAGCAGGAAGAAGGTAAACCTCCACAATAAAAAAAACATTCTCATCGCTTGATAATTTATTCATCTACACGAATTTTCAAATTCCTTTCATAAATATTTTGTTATGCTCCAAAGAAAAATAAGATTTTAGCGTTAAAATATTAAAGCTCTACTAAAAATAAAACTTCGCAGATATCATAAAAAGTTTTAAACATAACTACAAAGACAACAATGGAATGATGAGCAATAATCGTTGTTTGAGTTGCAATAATCATAAAAAATAATATAAAATATTTTATTACACATATATGTATGTACTTACAATAATATTTTTTAATAGCAGAACTTCTCTTATTTGTTTGAGAATGAAACAGTAACATTACACTAGCAATAACTTATTTCAATTCATAAGCAACAAGTGCGCTCGAATTTTAAACTTTTTTAGCAATTCTTAGATTACGTCAAAGGAAATAAAAGAATTAAAATAAATTTATAAAAGGAAATAAACTTAATAAACTGAACAGATACAAGGATAATACTCAAGTTGAGCAGTTTCATAAGAGAAATGAATTCTGTCCGAGTGATTTCTATTTATGAAGTTCCGTTTCGAGTACACGAAGACTTCCAGTAGAAGGAAGATTAATCTTCTCATTGATATGGATTAATGTTGTCCAATCTCCGTTTGCTTCTTTCCTTTTTCAATTCAATCAAGATAAAATCAGCAATAAAACTTAAAGTTCATTGCTTTCTTTCGTATTATTTTCATTTTTCTCCCCCGCATTTTTTTCCATTGACAAATTTTTCTTTCCCGAAAATTCAAATTCTCTAATCGATATTGACATCCTCTGATTTCATTTCAATTCATTATTTTCATCGCATTTTTGTTTTTAAATGAGCGTAAATCTCAGTTACAATTTCAATTCTTAGAATTTGTGGCATCATTAAAACGAAAAAAGAAATCAGGTCTCAAAAATCCCGAAAGCTTTTGTTTGAGATATTCAATTTCCGATATTTAGAATTTAAATGAAAGCTTTAAACTTCCTAATGTCCTCTCTAAGTTTAAAGAGGTTTATCACGAAAGTTAAGCTTTAGGTAGCTAATGGATACTAATCCAACCCATCGTTGTTAATCGATTTTTCCTTTTTATTTAAGAAATGAAAAGCAATTATTCCAACTTCATTCTGAGGGCGGAAAATTCCTTTTATTTCTTTCTCCACTGAGGATTTTCCAATTATTTTGTTGCATTAGTTGTGAGACTTTCTCAAATTTTCCTTCACCCTCAAATGTTATCTCAATTAAATGATTGTGTTAACCAATTTACGTAGCTTTCAAGCACAAAACATCGTAAAGTTTTCACATTTTTATCATTTTATATGAAAATAAATGAAACGGAAAACTTTTCTATAAACTTGTAGAACACTTTTAAATTATCACAATAAGTAGATAAATAGTTGTTATCACGATTGAACAGTTGAGCAGAATGAATAACTTTCAAACAGTCATTTAATATCGTAATTATCTTGGAAATGAATATCTGTCGGTTTTGAAAGAAAACTTTTCCAACAAATTTATCTAAAACCGAACTTCAAGTAATCATTTTTTTCCATCATTGAGAGTTGAAGAAGACTTTAAGACAGAAATGTAATGAATATTCAAAAGACCATTAAATGTGTATTAAGAGGCGACAGAAATGTTTTCCTTGAATTTGAGTTTTTCTCTCCCTCAGCATCATCAGGAAAATCATCAACGATCCATCTTTCACTTTCCTTTCCAACTAACTTTTTTTAGAACAGGAAAAGACAAGCTCAGCATAAAAAACAGAAGAAATGGGAAGCTCTTATGAAATCTATTTCATGATTTATGTGCCTGCTTTGAAGGTGTATATAAAAATGAGCAGCAATAAATTTCACTTTTCTTGCTTCCTTTGTGTGCAACAGATTTATGATTCGCGCAAGAATAATAATGAAGAATTTCCCCCAAGAAAATTGTTTCATTAACTGAAGATTCTGTTACTGTTAAAATCAAGGTTAAAACTTCACATAATGCTTTGTATCTCCAGTGAATTGAATAAAATCTCTGTTCAAATATAAAAGTTTTACAACTTATGCTTCGATTTATATTCTGTCAGTGAGTGGTTCAAATCAAAGCTGCTTGTACAACTTCATGCACATCTATTTTATACATCTGAAACATGGATGTATGCTTCAGTAATAACATATTGAATTATATCCGCCGGGCATGTAAGTGGAGAAAATGTTTACGTTTGAAATCATGGCAAGAAATTACTTATCTTGTTTCCTCGTAAAACCTTGTTTGTTGTCTCCTTTCTGAACTCGTGTTTTTTATTTGCTTAACAGCAGAGATGGGCAAATGTTCCGTTCAACTCGATTGACTGACTGACTGACATGTCAATGTCTTTCAGTCAGTCAGTCAGTCAGTCAGTCAAAATCGCGAACAAAAATATTCGTTTGTTGGGACACGTTCATATAAATGTTCCGCTCAAGTCGTTTGACTGACTGAGTGACAAGTCAATGTCTGTCAGTCAGTCAGTCAAATCCCAACTCTGCTTAACAGTACAATCACTTCAAGATATAAGATATCAAAAATGTTTTGGTGTTGCTTATTTACAGTTTTTCTATGATTTCTGTTGTGCGAATTGAAAAAGAATTCATTTTAAGGTTTTATTTTTCTCGTTTCTTAAAAGCTTAAAAGTTCAATGTTCAAATAGTTCAATTGGGGTCAGTCAAGCTTTGAAATTTGAAGCTTCTCCAGAATTTTCGATTTAGTTTTTACGTTGTTTAAGAGAAAGCATTATTAAATCGTGATTATTGTGACAGAATTTTTCTTTTATCAGAAAGTTTTTATTTTTTCTTTTCATCTCAGCATTTCCCTTGGAAATTTCAGCAATTCCTAGACAATATGTCAAGTGATGAGATTTATAGACATGAAAATGAGTGGTAATAATACTAAATAGTCAACATTATTAGCCAATGCTCAAGAGAAACGAAAATAGATATCAACAACAAAATGAACATAAAAGATTCTCGATAAATCACAATTTTAATTATCCACAAGAAATATCTTAGAAAACATTCTCTTGACATTCTTCATTATTTATCTGTCTGATACTAAATTTAACATGTTCACACACGCATGAAGGGAAAGAAATTTCCTGAACAACATACTCATAAATGTGAGCCTTAAGGACAACAGAAGAAGAAAATAACGTTTAATCCATTAAGATTATCCAGCTTAACAGCTGGTACGGAAAACCCAAGTAACGTTAAGAAACATGATGAAGAAGAATAACTAAGACATTTATTAATGAAACTATAATAAGATGTCATATAAAGATTGTGTATATTTAACATGCTTTCATTAATAATGCACACACATTATCAGCTTAACCGCCTCTCAAAAGCTCACATCTGGTTTCTACAGAGACATTGAGATCTGGTGACTAAGTGAAATAAAGGTGAAAATTATTTTAAGTCATCTCAGTGAGCTTTAATTAAGTGTCGGTGAAATTTCGGTGAAACATTCTTGCTTTTTCCTCTTTTAATGACTGAATTCACATGAGAATCCGCATTTGTTGAAACACACGAAGCCAAACATTATCTACGTGAAGTAAAGAAAATTTTCCATCCTTTCATGTATGTCAGGTTAAACTTTTCTTATGTTTGAAGTTTATTGAAATCGGTAGGAAAAGTCTTGACATTGATTGTAAAAGTTTTTCAACCGACATTATAGAAAACTTTACGAGCTTGAACTTCTGACAAGAAGAAAAAAGAATTCTTTTAATACTTTTATGTAGATATATGAAGATTTCTTTTTATTAAATTCTTTTCTGCTCTCTTATCGTATTTTTACAGATTAAATCTGAAAATGTTCATGAAAATATATGTTTTTGTTTTTAAAACAATTTACAAAAGCCTTTCCAAGTCTTCACTCTCAGCATCGCTGGTGAATGCTTCTGAATCTGAAAAATCGTAATCCTCTCGACGATTACGTCGACAGCACGGTTGTTGGTAATCTTCCGAGTCACTCCAATGTTCATACTCTTCCTTGTGATGCTCCAAGATCATCAATGATGGAAAAATTGTATCACACGCACCACACCTGAAATTATGAGTGTCATAAGTAAATTGGGTTGGTAACATTTCGGTGAAATGCGAGTTAATGGATCGAATTATAAGAATTAACACCCTAGCGCGATACGAAAAGATGTGGAAGACGAGATTGTAAATGTCTCAGAGCGTTCAAATGGAAAATCTGAGTAATTTATTTACTTTACACAACGGGATTAGACGCCGTCAAAATTATATTCAAGAAAAAAAATGAGAACGAGAACCAAAATTTTTCTTGTTAGCAATAAACTTCTAAGACATTCTAAAACGCAAGCAGATAAATTATGATTTACGACATTGTGATTTTCATTTTTTCTTGCTAAACACGAACTTGTGCTTGATGTTTACTTACCCAAAGTGTCTCTTCTTCTGTTGATGCGAAGCGAGTTGACGGTGACATCGGAAGGCTCTATCGCAAACATTACAAGTGAGTGACTCATCTGTGAATGAAATTTAAGTGTAAAAGAATAGAAGAATGAGGATAGAGTGGATTGAAACGTGACGAAGGAGCCCCTCAGACTGTTTGTAAATCAATCAATAAAGCACATTTCAAAAGCTCAATTGAATTGAAAAGTGATACCGTGATTGACAGCATGAAATGTAAACTTTATGGCATCCTAATCGTTTTCACCATAAGACTTTTCATCCCCTCTTATTATTTATCATGTTTTTTTTTTACTTTGTCTAAGATTCGCTGACTTAGTTATTGAAATTTTAATAAATAGCACATTCATGAAAAGAAAACTTTTTGTTTTGCTTTTCAACAAGATTATTCAAGTTTTTGTTTGGGTGGAAAGATTTTGGTTTTAATGTTCAGACAAAAGATGAAATTATTCGGAATTGTTTGCTTCAGGTTGATATCTAAGTATTTAAAAGTAATCCTATTAAAACAAAATCAAGCCCAATAAGCTGTGGCCCTCAAGTAATTCGAGAGTTGAAATTACGGACTGTTGTTAAGAAGAATCCAACACCAAAGTAATTTTATTAGAAAATATCTCCTTTCATGTAATTGATATATTTATGGAAAAGCTTTTCTTCGAAGTTTTAAGATCTTGTTCTCTTTATTTTCACAAATTAAAAAGTTTCTGGTTCCATTGATTTCCTTATGCTAATTAATGGAGACATAAAATCTTTTTGTTTCTCATAAAATTCTTTTATCATTTTCAAGGTCATAAGAAAGCTTTTCGACCTTTTCAAATGACATCTATAAGTAATGAATTCACATTATCTAACCCTCTCTTGTCTGTAATTATCCCTCAAAATGTCAGTTGGAGAAGTTTCGAAAACAATCCTTTTGAGAGAATGTAAGAATAGACTTTGGAAATGGGGTTGGAAGATGTGAAAATTCTCAAGCTTATGTTAAATAAGCTTAGTTCTTGAAGTGTGAATCTTTACATTGTTTTATTTAACATTGCTGCCTAGGGACGTGTTCTTATATTGTAGGCTTTATATAAAGAAATTGTAAAACAAAAAAACTTTTCTAAAGGTCGACAAATCTAACATTCATTCATCGCGATACAAAAGCAAGAACAAGAAAATAAATATTTTGATTTCGAATAGAATTTCCTTTCATGTTTAACCCGTTCAAAACAATAAACAAAAAAGGAGATTGAACGTTTCCAATTTCATCAACTCACCATAGTCTTCATCGGAAATTGCTATTTTCTGAAGCTTTTTCATTATGTTGTCGTCGATGTAATGGTTCGAGTTTGATTCATCTATTGTCCTTTTGATTTGAGTATCAATCTCAACGGCCAAACATTCACATCCGCCATCGGTTATTGGATTTCCATTTGCGTCCAAATATTGACTATCAGTTTTTTCGCATCGTTTTGAATTAACTTCAACTACAACTTCATCGATGTCACATTTTTTATTGAGATTATTAAGTTCATCAGAGTCATCAGCACCAACACTTAACCTGCCATAGCGAAAACGAAGCCAGGAATTATTTCTTTCTGTGAAGACACAAAAGATTTTCATTATTTAATTATTCACCTTTCACGCTTCTTCTATAACAAATAAGAAACAAGACAATAAAGAACAACAAAAGCCCTGGGGAAACGATAAATCTCTACTGGAGCCTTTCAACAATTTTCTTACAAAGCGGAAAAATTACAAAATTTTAATTTAATGAAGTCACTGCAAGTAAAGCGGAATTTTCTTCTTTAGAACGATGTTGACCTTTAATTTGAAGTCGACATAAAATATTCTCCGATTTCATGATGAAACATAAAATGTTCGTTTTCTTTCTATTTTCGTCGCTCAACTTGCTTAATTACTTCTTCACGGAAAACTTTGTCTCATTTATCAACGACATCAATTGTAATTAAGTCATTTATAAGTTCAAAACTATTTCTTTTAATGCAGTGAAAAAGGTAAAATTTGAGCTCTTCATTAATGAGTTATTCTGTAGTCGTTACATCGATGTTAATTTCACGTATTTAAATTCACGTCTTAATAAGAGCTCGCTTTAAAGAATGAATGTATGTAAGTTGTAAATTTATTTATTCAGATTAATCAGACTATAACTTAACATGAATTGTGTGTCGAACATAAAAAGTTGAATGAATCTCGTTGATTCTTGTTTCAAGTTTCAAATCACGTTTAAGGATTTGTATAATTTTTCATTACTCAAAGTGCTTTGGTTACGCTTGCCATATCTTTCCCACTGTAAGTGTTTGAAAAGTTTATTTATAGCTCAACAATCGATTAAACTTTCCAGAGGTGAAGGGCGAATACGGAACTTAAGTTTGACATGTTCGTGACACGTTAATTTTTTCTACCGTACAAATTTACTTAGGAACAGTTCTCGCTACGTTAAATCAATTTTATTAATTTTCAAAGAGCCTTAGCAACCTGAGGTGTTTTTCTCGTTTTTGTATGCTATCTTTGAAGAATTTGAATTGCAGTTGTTGTTGAAAGAACTGAGGAAGTTTGCCGCACCAGTTCTTCTTAAAAACCAAAACATTTTTGTATTCACAAGCAGTTTAGTTAAATTAAAAATATTCTTTCTCTGTGATTTATATTCCTGTATATTTTCTTTACACTGATATGTATTTTGACTGTACAAGTTGGAGCTTAGATATGAACTGACACTCAGTTACAAGCTTTCTTAGACTTTGGTTTCTCAGCTTTCAATTTCGAAAACTCACGACACATGCGCAAATTAATGTTTCGTTTCAATGGAGTGAATCTCACATCATATGAATTTATGTTCATTTTCAAGAGCTCCATTCACAGGAGAAGCAAAGAAACAAAATTTTCCTGGGATATTTTTTTGTGTTTGAGTTCGAAGAAGATTTTAATTATGCTTAAATACATTATGTAGACACTTCTGTGGCTCACGGGAAAAGCTGAAAGTTTTTCCATGTAATTTCATTTTAATGTACTATTTCACTTATAATGACAATGTCTTCATAGTGTCAATTCTCTAGAAACCTATCTAAAACATTTTAATTATCTTCAGAGAATTCCATGAATTCATGTTGTGGAACAGTTGTGGTGAACAAATATTCAATCAAATCGACAGACAATTTTGTTGGGTTCACATCACTCAAGTGTAACTTTAAAAGCTTTATTGAGACTTTCCTATACTTGTTTGTGGGAAGAAAAGTTTAGCAATTTGTAAGGTCTCCCAATAAAACCCTTTTCAAACGAACGACATATAATCTTCATCAATTTCAATGAATTGTTTTCTTTTCTAAATTGTGTTAAAATTTAGCACACGGATGAGATTTCAAGTATTTTAAATTAAAAGAAACATTGTTGGAAACTCTAACAATCATCTCCACCATGTGATGGTTCACACGGTCATTACATCAATCACAAACCTTACGAAGCATCGTTTTGGCAAATTCTGATGTAAGGATTCATAAAACATCTTGCAAACACAATCATAAATGTAGCTGAGCCTAAAAAGATGAAGATGGAGAAAAGTTATTGACTTACTTGATGTTTATACGTGTTGAGATTGTTGAGAAAAGATAGATATCTGATATCATAACACGGAAGGAAATCCTAAATTGGACTTCATAAGTATGTAGGCTTTGAAAGCCCTTAAAAATTTTTCCGAATGATAATTTTTTGCTTCTAGCAATGGACAATATAAAAAGAGAGCAATAATTTAGTAGATTGGTTAAAGGGTTTCAAAATCCCTTTTATTTCTAAGGTCTGTTGACTTAAGTCGAAGAAGGAAACATTTTCTATTTTTATGCTCAATTGATTAATGGGTCGACTTCTAGAATGTTCATGGTGTCCGCTCCTTCATCACACTAACTTTCCACTCGTAAACGAGAAAAAAATATCAAAGGCTTTTCCAGGAGTTATTAATGGCTCGAACTTTCTTCTTGATCTACGTTTGTCGTAGAGCTAACATTTTCTATTTCTCGCTAATGATGAAATGAAAAACTTTTAAGTATATTTATTGAGTGAAAAGTTTTTCCTTGAAACATAAGCAGAACCCCAGAAGATTCTTCAAATGAAAAATGATACCGAGACTTGAATATGATGAATTTGTTGTTATTTTTTCTTGTCGTATATTTGTTATTTACGTTATGAGCCTCATTAATCTTGATACGTAAAATTCCTTCAATTTGCAAACAAATTGCGTTGGGTGGCTGCGAACTTTTAATTGATTATTAATAAATTATTTCCTGTGGAGAGTTTTGATCCCTTAGAGTTTTTTTAATTATTTACTAATTATTTTTTTGAAATGATTTAATTATAATAAGTTCTCTCAACAACATAATTAATTTTTGTTCCCTGAAAGTCATTAAGTGTAGACATTAAATGAGCCGTATTATAAAGGATTTGTTTTTTTCCTTCCAGCTTAAAGCTTATCTGCTAATAACGTTAAAAGCAAGACAATTTAATTTCCATACAATTTGCGCAGTAGATAATTGTTTGCTTACTCTCGACCTTGATTGCTGCTTAATTAGATATTTCCATGATTTTTGAGGGCTAACGAAGAATTGTTTGGAATTAAAATAATAAAATATTCATTACATAGAAAACATTTTTGTTTCAAACATATTTTTATTTGAAATATAATCATCTACCCATTTATTAAAATATTGATTAATTTCACAGTGAAATTTGTTCAAAGATGAATATTTGATAAAATTTTTCATTAGTTTTTCCATATCTACATTGAAAATTCCAACTCAAGTTCAAACTAATAGATAATATATTTTATAATTGGTCATTCATCGTCCTTTAACGTAATTCAAATTAATTATGTTCATTGTGAAAATTAATT